AATGCAAATATAATTGTAGGGTCTCTATACACTGGAAGATTCATCATCAAAGACAACTTCGGTTCTAGTGATCAAGTTACTGCAAAGTTAAAGAATGACTGTTAATTTCAGTTTTGCATTTTTTCTTGTATGCCACTCAGCCCCACAGTGAACACTACCCTGCGGAACCTGGGTGCGTTATACAGACGTCAGGGCAAACTGGAGGCTGCAGAAACTTTAGAAGAGTGTGCACTGCGTTCCAGGAGACAGGTAGGGCCAGTACTGACCCAAAACAATTGCTGGTGCTATGCAAGATGGAGAACAGGTATTCTTCCAGATAAAAGTACTTTTATCCTTAATTTAATGGAAACTCCAACGAAAAGGAAATAAAAGTTGTGTTTGTCCAAATGTATAATCTTGTATCAGTCATGGAAGTTAGATTAGCCCTGATTGTAGCCACCTTTCAGAGCAGTTGAAAACAGAATTCTTCCAAGGAGCATTTGGGACTTGGCACCTGTTTTTCTGGATTGATTTTTTCAGATATTTGTTTTGTGTATTTTTAAAAAATCTTATTGGACCTTGGATATTTTTGTTTGTTTGTTCATATTCTTGTGAAACTGCCAAGAGTCTTGTGGGAATCCAACAGGGTAGAAATGTAATAAATACATAAATAAATATTGATTGATTTGAATTTGCATTGTATCTCAAAAGTGTAGAACTAGGATCCTGAAGCACTGGTGAAATTGTAACTATAAAATGCTATTTCCATGATAATAACAGCAGTGGTATAATTAAATGTAGTTAGCGTGATTTTTTTTTTTCCTGGAAAGTTGCAACTGCTTAATTTTGTGGAATTCTTCCCTTTAGTCAGCACAAGTCACAGAGCATCAGGAAATTAGACAGAACCATTTGCTTAGTGGTTTGGGGTTTTTTGGAAAGTTTTGGCTAGTCCGAAAGAAAAACTCCAGGCCAGCTGGCAAAGATATAGCCTGCCAACTGGTTTACACTAAATTTGAGAGAAGCCTTTTTTCTACCCCAGTCTCCAGACTTTAAGCAATTTATAATAAATAAAATGAGAATAAAAAGTAAAACAAGAATAGCATAAAACACCATAAAATAGGAAATCTTCTAACTCTCATAACCTAAAAACAGCAGGAGCAATTAAGAATCCCAAAATCAAACTCTAAGGTCCTAAGCTCCAAATGCCCAGCAAAGTAAGACATATTTCTGGTGGATATGATATGAAGAGCCTCATTGATGCTGTAATGTTATCCTACTGCAGCTGGTTAGATACTGTCTGTTGGTCTTCTTGATGGTCATTTCCTGTATTTCCAGTTTATCAGACGGACTCAGTATAATCCAAGGGGATTTTCTGAAGTGGATTTCTTAGTGTGCAAAAATCAGTATTATGAGAACTTTATTTTCCGTTTTTATTTTTTCAAAGCAAACTCTTATTTTTTGAAGCAAATTTCTTAGAACACTTAGAAAGGTTAAAACAAATTTCTACACATTTCATGACCCTCTCAATGGGTTAAACAGGTTTAGTAAGCCCACATATGTACAAGCTTCACATATAACTAAACACTGTCCCTTTTCTTTTTGCTTCACTCTTTTCTCTACATGGGAAAGAAACCTCAGTTAACCACAACTACTTGTTAGCGGCTTCCAAAACAAGCCACGAATCAGCTTAATTTTAAACCACGTTTTCCAGTGGCCCTTTTTTGGAAGCTATTATTATTTCTCAGTTTGGACATAACAGTAAGTGGTGACAACTGCAGCTTCTAGTTCACTTGCTTTAAAAAGGGAGTACTAAAACAAGTTTAAAGCAGCTATATGCAAGTGCACATAACTTGGATGTACTTTAATACTTCCTTGTTAAACCAGGATTTAATTTGGCAACATTTCCATAAAGAATCGTAGCCCTTCTCTTGCTGCAGAATATTCATTAATCCATGATGACCAGGAAATAGACTGTAGTTTTTGTTCTCTAGAAACTCTCAGAAAATCTTCTTTGCTTTCTTGCCAAGATCAAGCCCAGACTATTGTTGTTTTTTATTGTTGTTTTTCCCTTGCAGGGTATTGACCCCATTAACCAGACTAAGGTGGTGGAAATTCTGAAAGAGGGTGATGGCTCTGAGAGGAGGAGGAGCCGAGACAGCCTGGGGGGCAGCATCAAATATGAGAATACCACAGATGGTAATGAGGAAGTGAGTATGGGCGTGGAATGGAATGGGGTAAGTACAAGTCCACCATCAAGAACCACCTAATCCAGCCAAGAGACACAGGGGGCAGTAACTCCCTGAATTCTATGCTTCTGTGCTGCCCCCTGGCGTCTCAGGGAGCTGATAGCCTGTCGTGGCATGTCCACCTTCATTCATTCTTCTGCATGATCTCTGCCCCTTCCTTTTAATGCCACTTAGGTAGAATCAGGAAAGGCCCTGCCTAGTTTCTCTGTGGTTTTTCCAACCATTCAGAAGTGCGGAATATTTAGAAGAAGATGAGAAAGACAGAACAAAAACAACTAATCTTAGCCACTTCCATACTAAGATTCCACAGTACTGTTCTCCCTCTTTCTGCTACAGGGAATGGGGAAGGAAAGTGGAAGAAATAATATTGCTTCCCTTCCCAGGAGATAATTTTGCTGTCTAAGGAAGTACCTAGAGGAGTTTGGCTTGGGTTGCAGACAGGGGAATACCTTAGGAAAAGGGTGCAGGGGTAGGAGCAGCAGTGTATGTCCATGTATGCATGAATGGTTGAAGGATATTGAGAAGGGGTGCAATGAATGTGTCAAACTCTTCTTTTCAAAATAACAAAAGGCTACATATATCTTATTCATATACTCATCGATAAGCTGTACACATGAAGAAACACATTTTTCTGCATTTATTACAGGAGAATATGTGCTAAAGTAGATGTCACTCTCCTCTGCCCTTCTTCCTCTTTGCTGCCCTTTCTGGTGCAATAATTAGCTTGTTTCACTACAGCAAACTGCTGCAGAATGGAGTGAGGAAGACCATTGAGCTGGATCAGGAACATACCACAAAGAGTTTTCAGTCCTTAAAAAATAATTGTCTCACTTCCAGTGTCACAATATTACATCCAGTTTGTGAATGATAAAGCCAGGTTTTGATAGATAAAGTCAAACTATATAAAATTAGTCTTTGATGAAAAACATTCCAAATTTATTTCCCATTTCTCTCTCCCCCAAAGTCTGTTCTGTCCTTTTTGTTCAGAGATGGACATTTTGATTTGGATTTTTGAACCAAAAACATGAGTTGGGAGGAAAGAGCAGGCATTTACCATGTATTACTCCTTCGATATGTTTATTTTTCTAGGCTTTGTTCTAAAATAGATTGAGCAGCAAATAATTTGGTCTCAGTTAATGGTGGGGAGGTATTGACCACTCATTGTTTCTGTGCTTTGGTCATACTAACATACACTTGCTTCATTGCTCTTTAACTCTTCACACTCTACTGATCCCTTGCCTGCATGTGCTTCTCCATCCCCCATCTATCACAAGCAAATTGCCATGACAGCCAATCAGCAACTAGGTGTCTTGCAGTCTTGATTGTGGATTGTACCTAGCAGGAATACATTAAAAAACTTGCTGGAGAGAACACCTGAGCCTCCTAGAATTGTGTAAAATAGCAATATATGACATTCCAGACCCTAAAGACTTATCCTTTGCTTCCTTTATGAAGGGTACTTTCCAATTAGAATAAAAACCTACTTGATATATTAACATCCAGCTGAATGAACCACTTTTAGTTTTGCCCTTATTCTAAGATCTTTTAAAAACATTTAAATGTAGGTATATAATATTTTCTTCTTGCAATTCATTTTTCTGTTAAATAGTTTTGAAAAACAGCAAGTAGTCCTTGACAGTATCATAGGTACTGATGAGGCTATAGGCATTAGTAGTTATCTTCCACAGCTATAAAACTGCAGAACCAGGTTTTTTTATTTGTCCCAGGATACACAAAACATACAATTTGCGGATAACACAGTTTAGGCCACTCTCTTCTTTTCCTTAAATGTTACATTTCTTGAAGCTTTGATTAGTGTCCCTTGCCTGTCTCGATCAGTGTCATTCATCTCAGTTATTCTATGCCTGGATAAAGAAGGATTGTCTGCAACCATCTTTTATAGTTTGCTTTTTCCAGGATTTAGGGTGGACTTCATCCCTAGTGAAAAAAGCAATGAATTTCAGATGGTAGTTTCCTCTTTACTTTGATACTGTGTGTCCATGCTACATCCCGTGTTCTTGGCCATTTCATTTGCTGAAAAGGCTATAATCTTGTTCCAGGAATCCTCCTCTCTTTGAAAGCGTCTTGTTTAGATGACAAGGTTGAACCTTAAAGAATGCCAAGGCCATAGATCACTAGAACATTCCCTCAAATGGAAGGGTGGCAGTGTCTCATGACAAATATCTATGCTACATTATGGCTGCAACATCTAAAAATGATATGCTGTCTTTTCCAGGCAAGGAATAAATACAAGCTTAAACTGTCCCCCACATTCTCCCAAGTCTTCAAAAGGAACTGAAAAAGATTCTTAACTGCCATGTATCTTCTGCTAATCCAGTGAGTTTCAAACCATGTTTAGAAAAAACTGGGTTTTCTTGAAAGCTTGTCAAGGTACTTCAGAGATGATGAAACTGCCTGAAAGACATCATTCTCACTCCTTCTAGTCACTCCCTAAAATGCATTCCCTCTAGTCACACTCTTAATTGGCATGGAGAAATGCTGAGATCCTATAGGACTGCCCAGTAAATTGAGTATTTCCCAGAATGTTCAGCACCAGCAGAAGATCATGACTCACCATGGAAATGGCTCTCTATCATTACAGCTCAGTACAGTTTTCATTATAGGAATTCTTGAACCCTCACTTACTTTTCCCATCAGTCAGTGATATTTAAAGTGTAAATACATTAGTTTGAACCTCAGGGTGAAGGCTTGAATTTAATATAAGTCTTAATCTCTCACATTTGCCCTGCCTCTTCCTTGTACAGTTAGATGTACACTTATGAAGCTATTATATTGGCATCCTAATCTCTTTTCCCAGCTGCTCTAAATCTCATTGACATCCTCAGCTTTAAAAAGTCCCCAGCTAAAACTATTGGATCCTCCCAACCCATGTCTATATTTTCCAATAGCCTCAGAGGAGGACATTAATGCAATAAATAGAGTATATGGCATGCAGGTGCAGGGTCCAACTCCCAACGTATTCAGTTAATTATTCTTAGCTGAAATAGTGGAACCCAGATAGTTATGGGCTAGGTAAAACAATTTAATATTATGCCACTTCATATGTACAAGAGCTCCTCTTGCCCTACTCTGACAGCTTACCCCACATGAAAGATCCTATTATTCCTAATGAGGATGTAATTTGCCAAGAAGCAAGCTATTATCTATTACAGAACTGCCAGTTTCCCATCCCCAACTTCATTTTGCTAATGAATACTTATGGTTCAGGGTTTTTTTTTTTCCTGTTTTGCTTTGTTTGGGAGTAGGATGCTCTTTCAGGAAGAAGAAAGCAAGCCTCAACAACTTAAGAAATGGCCCACTGTAGCTAGGAGAAAGGCTCCATTTGTGTTGCTAACTGTATCTTCACATAAAAATACAGTAAGCAGAACATAAAGGAGGGAAGCAAATAAATTTTGTGACCTTATCCATTAAACATTTATGTTAATAGCCAGCTTTTCATGCACTGTATTTTCCCAGTTTTCATGACTGCTTGAGTTAAAATGTTAGCAAACAGTGGTTTCTCGGGACCTTGGACTGGAACTGCAGCAGTGGGAGATAATTGATTGTCTCCCAATAACTGTTCTGGAAGATTATTTTTATTTAGAAAATAGTTCCAAGGGAAAAATGTTAATTAATGCCTTCTTCTCCTGTGCAGTATTCTCAGTTTGAACATGGGAACCCACCCAACTCATATTTCACTAGCATTTTAGGGTGACCCGAATCTGGATTGTATTATCTTTAAGAATTAGACTTAAAGCATACTCTACACATGCATCAAGACTACATAGGACTGTTTCAGATTGCTGGTGTAGAGGGATCTTCTTTTCATTCCTCTGCATGATTCTTCTCCTCCTCCTGGCATTTGAAAGTCTAATTCTGCCTTGTTGTCTGAAGCAGCATAATGCTTTTTCATAGTGCTGCTTGTGTAGAGTATGCCTCTGGGGTTCTTTTTCTTGCTTGAATACAATTTTTTCAATGCTAAATTATCCATTTTAGCTGCTGAGATTGTAGAGATGGGTTCTTTTCTGAGAGATTTTTATCCTTTTATTATTTGCCACTAATTTTCTTTCTTTTCTCTTCTACCTCCCTCCACACCATATTAGACTGGTTGAAGCAATGGGACCATGGAATAAATGAAGGAGTCTTCCTCTATATGGCCGTGCTATGTATTGGACCTTGTAATTAAATGGGTCTAATTCTTTCCCAAAAATTGTGCTAGTCAAATAGTGGTATTTGACCCAAAAGCATGACTAAGCAAAGCTTGTATTTTGAAATTTTCAAAGCATTTTTCACATTAGCTAAAGGGATTTGTATGTCCTCTGTTAAGATCTTCTGTGTGACTTTCTACCCCTCCATAACTCTTTGACCTCCTTGCCCATACTGATAACATATAGCTCTATTCCCTCCCTGTCACTCATCAGGATACTGTGCATCCTCACTGTGGCCTTGTAAATTGTGTCTTTCTCCTCTCTGTGCACTAGGCTTAAATGCCTCCTGAGACTTCTCCCCCCTCCCTTCCACCAACACAATCACCTGGATGCTTATGCAGCTTCTTTCGACTTTTTCTTCCAAACCATCCCCCTCCTTCCACTGCTCCTGCTTTCCTCGGCAAGGACTCCACACCTGTCCCCCAACCAACCTTCCATCCCAAGTGACTACCAAGGAGCACAGCAGAAGAATATTCAACTGGCTGCACACCGCTCTACTACAGCACCAACCAGCAAGAGAACAGGAAGAAACTCTACGAGGTTGCCTCTCCCCACTTCCTTTGTGTGCCAGAACAGGACTTTTTCAGGATTCCTTGTGGTTCCTCTCTTCTCTTTCCTGTACCTGAACCAAGGGAGGGGGGTTGATATCTGAAAGTGACCTTGTTCCCTGTTCTGGATACACTACATTCACAATTGCCCATCTTCCTATTCCTTGCCTTCACATTTTGCTGCCTCCATTTGAACAATTTGCCCCCTCCTGATCTTTCATGCTGCTTCCCTTTTCTTTCTCTTGCTTCCATGGCAGAGAGTACAAAATTTTAAAATAGAAACAAACACCCTAATATCTCCCCCCCTCCCATATTTAAATTGTAGATAAATACAATTTATAGGATAAATGGGGTGAATAAATCACGCTCTTAACTGTTTGATGACAAAAAAGTTTGAATGCCCACTGCTGCTTTTATACAAGCCTGGTTTCTATCTTATGCAGTAATCTAGTCCAGAGACCCATAAAGAAAGATATGGAAACAGCTCATCTGTATTCTCTAGTATCTGAAGCCCTTTAGCTTCAGGATGTAACAGAGACAAAATCTTGAGCTGTACCTTCTCTCTAAAATCTTACTTTCACAGAAATGAAAATAGGATAAACAAAGGCATTAGATATGGAAAGATAACAATAGCAGAAGGTGGCATTAAGAGAGTGTTAATGTTAAGTGTTTGATTAATCCAAGTCTGCACTTGCCTGGCCTGTCGCACTTCAGGATGCTTGCATTTCACAAGAAAATGCTTCTCTAATATTACAACCTTGGGAATATTTTTCTCCCACAGTTCCTTGCTCATAGAAGGAACAGTAATTGCTGAACGAGATGGCCTGTCACTTTTTCCTTATCACTCTGGTCACAGAGCAAGATGAGTAGGGTTGTTGATGGATTTTCTTCTCTGAATTTATTCTCATTAATGTAAATTTTTAATAACACATTGCATGTGTGGTCCCAGCCAAATGCCACAAAGCAAGCACATAGAAGATTGGTGTGTTAAATGGTAATGTAGCACTATAACTGCTGCTTATTTAGAAGCATGTCAAATGAGCACAGAAGAAAGTAGGAATTTGCACACCCTGTACAAGAATGATGAAGCAAGAAGTCTTGCATGCAAGAACAAGGAGCACAGACAGTAGAAGGCAGAAGTTTTAAAGTGGGAATAAGTTGGCCCACTGAGACAGCTCTGGAGGAATTTAACAGAGGGAGAAAGGCTCTAGAAGAAGTGGATTTTCAATATGTATAGTACCATCCTGTTTGTGTTTTCTTAGAGATAAGTAAAATTGCATTTAATTCTGTTTCCTCCCAGATGTCTAGGATTACCACCCTGGTAGAAGCCATCTTTGAACGCCTGAGCATGTTGCCATTTTGCGAGCTAAGATGGGGGCCCAGGGCAGGAGGAAAAGGGTGATTCCCTCAGGAATTGGGCTATAATATTTTTCCAGGGTAGGGATATGACTCCAGAATACAAATGGGATATATTGATCTCAAATTGTTGAGAAAGGGAGGAAAAAAACTGATAATATTCCAATCTGAAGAAAGTTGAGACATGTTCGGTATAGCAAAGAAAGAAGTCTTCTCTTTCACCCAGAAAAAACTGGATGTTGAGATTTTTTTAGGCTAGGAACCTAGTTTCTAAGATAGTAAGTTTCTTTATTATTTACATTGGTGTTAAATATGTGGTTCTTTCATTTCTGAGGGATAGCCATATGATTTGATCCATCTCCTGGGCAAGCAGATCTGAGGGAAGACCTCCTTTCAGCCTACTGGCTGATCATAGTTTTAGGCTGTGTGCATGTGAGAGGGGGAGGGGGTTAATGTAGTTCAATACCTTTGTGAGTACAGCTGGTTTCTGAAAGAAAGAAAATATTAGATAAGTTTACAACTTAGGCTAAGTATTAGATAAGACTTAAGCAGTCTTTGAAACTGCGAGTGCTGGCAAATGGAACTGAATAATAAAAGTATAGCACGATCTCTTTGTATGGCTCTTTTTGAAATAGCCATGCCTGTCTCCTGTTGGAGGAGCACCAAACCAGACCATTCATTCAACCCGGGAAGGTTATACTCAGGTGGAGCTTTGCCACAGGGCAGTTCAAAATGTCTTTTATGCAGCTCCTTTGAGAAGTCTTGTGCAGCTGTGGTGGAACCTTTGCTTTTGGCCACATGCTTCAGGAAAGGAGACATTCATGCATGTCTGAAGCAGGGCAGCTTCTGCCTTCCCCTAAGGCTGAGATGGGCAGTAAGTGTGATCTGTCCTGTTGCTAAAAAGCCTCTTGTCCTACTTTCACTAGCAGTTATGGCTCTGCCCTGCCCAAGTAGGGTAGGTGGCTGATGATCCAATGAAGAAGCCCCTGGAGTGGACCTAAATGTTGCTCTTGCATCCTCCCCATAAAATGCTACCAGCTCTCTTCCCAGCTCTACATACTGTGTTGTGCTGGGCTATCTGCAAGTCTTTTTATCTCACTGTCTAGGGGGGCTGAAACTCTGTGTTTTACTCTGCCTTTGAGACATACATGGTGCTTTCCTTGTTGCTGTGAACTAATTTACCTCTGATTAAAGGCAGAAGGACCCGAACCTTTGCTTCCTTGTGCCTCTTTTCCATATGCTGTCTTTTTTTTAATCCATTTCTTTCCATAAAACACAAATATTTACACTACCATACACTACAAATAATCTGAGTGTTTTTTCCCCTTCTTGTTCACTAGAAGAGCAGAAAACAGGTGTGCATGTGTGTTTGTGTTTAAAATATGAATGCTTTGTATGGCAATGGTGCAGAGAGATGAATCTCCCTTAGAAGAGAGTCATTGCTTACATAAAGTAGCTTTGAATTTAATCGCTCTATAAAACTGAAGGGGAAAACAGAAATTTTAAAAAGATGGGATTTTTGAAAGATGTATCTGTGTAGGATGTTTTCAGGGTCTGAGAATCTAGCCCTCAAGGAGAAAATGCTGCTGAACAGCACTTCAAGGGACAATAGCATAAATCAAGTCCCATTTTCTACATATCTACCTTGCCTTCTTGAAGTCCAGCTGTGTTGGACTTCGGCTTCCCAGCTCCCTAGGTAATATGTGACTATGCTTGCTATGGCGTATGGGAGTTGACATCCAATACATTTGGAAGGTATCAGATTCAGGAAGTTGACTATATTGTATCCCCAAGCTTACAGAACTTCTTTTTCTGCTTCTTCCCAGAGCATAACAAATCCTAGCAATAATGCTTAGCCTAATGCTTATTTTCTGCTAGCTATGTAATTAAGAATGCATTTATAATTGGAAAATTATGTAAAAATAAAACTTCTGAAGCAGTTAAAATAGGCAAATTCATGTTGCCTGACAGGAAGAAAGAAAGTATTCTTTCCCATAAAACCAATATGTTTTAATATTTCATGCTATTCATGATGGGAATGCCTGCCTTGATCAGGTGATCAATAAACAATTTGTACCTGATTTTTCTAAAAGACAAAAGTGACAGAATGTGACACAGGTGTCTTGTGTATTACTGTATATGTCTTTCTTTGAAAATAATAATGAAGTAATGGATGTAGTGATATTCACGTTTTTGAGTTTCACTGAACTTTGCATTGGACAGAGCTAGAAGTTAGGGAATCTCAGGTGTTTATAGCAAGCTTGACTACCAAGAAAGCCAGAGTTTGATATTCTCTTCCTGACAATAAGCTCTATTGAATTCAGTGGATTTTATTTTTAAATAGACATGTATACAATTGGGCTTTAGAGAATTTGCATTGCTGATGTAATTTATTGTTTTCTAACCAGTCACTTAGTCGCCCATAGACAATTTTGAAAATATTAATAAACAACCTTTTATAAAGGACATGAATACACTGGCATTATACTTGTAGTAATGATATAGATTTATTGTACTTCACAGGCACAATCTTATATTCAGCCTTCCCAACCTAGTTCTCTCCAGATGTGCTGGGACCATAGCACAAAGCTGGGAATTTTGGAAGTTGTAGTCAAACACATCTGGAGGGCACCAAGTTTGTGCGAATTAGTGTATATTTATTTCTCAGATTAATTCCATTGCAGCTTTAGGTCAGATTTAATGGGTAAAAGACTACAGTAACTGTAATTGCAGCACCAATATTGTAAAAGGCTGAAATGAAAAGATGTACGCCTAATCTTCGTAATTAAGAGATTTGTATGTAAAAGCCAGGTATATCTTTTCTTGCAAAATGTCTGACTTCTTCCATAATGTAAACTACAGTAGATCAGCTATTTTCTGTAAACCTGAGTTGTGCTACAATCAGATTAAACATAAATGGTGGAAAACTAGAGCAAGTAGATGAATTTCTGCACATTGATAGAATTGTTATTAAAGATGGGGAAATAAATGGAGAATTTTAAGACATGTAAACGCCTGTAGAAAAATAGTAGGTAGCATGTGGTCTATTGCAAGGAATAAAAGAAACAAAAACAATTATGTGTAACAATGTGCTTCTGCCCACTTCATTACATGGAAGTGAATTAGGTATGTTAGGAGAAACATATAAGTTGAATACAGCAGGGATAGCTATATAAGATTTGCGCTGTAAAACAAGAAAAGCTAGAGTCAATGAATGCTGAGTGAAAGTGGATTCGCTCACTCAACAGTGAGTAACCAATATGAAAGAAGTATGTTGAGGTGGTTTGGTCATACAGAGAATGAGCATTGAATTACAACTCAAATATATGAAGGAAGAGTAAATGGGCCAAGAGGAAGGGGAAGTCCAAAAAATTAATGGTTGTATGGAGCTGATAATTTAATTTAATTTAATTTAATTGATTTAGGCACCGCCCAACTCCAGAATGACTCTGAGATCCTGAAAAAGAGCGAGACGAGAATTTTAATGAATAAAAGGCAGTGCAGGAAGTGGTATATGGGTGTGATGGAAGCAAGGGTGGTTTGCAAGGGGAGAACAATATGGAAAAGCATAGTGAATGGTCTTTGTGAAAACAAGTTTGAATTAGTTTTCTAATGTTATTAATTTCTTTGGCTTCCTATTTCTTACTCTTTTTCTGGACTCTGAAAAACATTGTTTACTCTAAAAGGGAATAGTGTGATTGATATGTATGAAGTATGTATGTGTGCATAGTCTTGTATTTATTAAATGGTAACTGTAGCAGTCACTACTAGAACTCATATACCTGTATTAAGGTTGGTTGTAGCAGTCTGTTGTAATAAATTTCAAGTAATCACCTAATGTTATGAGGGAAATTTCAAGCAATTATCTAATGTTATCAGGCAAGGAGAGAAGTTTGTCATATACTCACAGCCCCTCAAGCCAGCCTTCTTTGGTGTGATTCCTTCATGTATTTTGGAGTATACTACTATAATCACTATCATATTTGGCAATTTTGACTGAGGATGTAGTCAACATATCTGGAGAGTACTAAGTTGGGAAGGTTGTTCTTGAACTGTTTTACATGAACCAACTTGGTGCTTTTAATCTGTCAGTGTACTTCAGGACTGATTTATATCTTATTATAGGATCATGATATCTATACAAGAACAGGTTGCCTTTATTTCCACAATCCCTGTTGTATAATCACTTTATACCACAAATCACTGCAGTTCTATCAGAGTTGCTACAGTATGATTCAAAAGCACAATTGTATCTTTATCAAGCAATACACATCATTACCCAAGCTCACATATATAATCTTTGTGTGATAATCAGTGATGGAAGCAGTCAGGCTGACAAGATCAAAACACAGATGCTTTTTTCCCTGACTTTTTCCTTCACAATCTTATCTCAAAACAGATAGCTTGCCTGTGAAAGTTGCACCTAGGTTAATTTTCTTAAGAGAATGGGCAAGGCTTCAGAAGTCTCTATCATCCTGAATGAAGCATCTCTTCTATGCTGTAAAGCACCTCACTTTTCCTTTGGAGTCCTACTTGCCACAAGTTTTATATCTTGATATGTACATACTGTACTGTCATTCTGATATGGCAAGAACACCATCTATTTCAACTGGGGAGGATGAAATCAATCCAAATAAAAGTGAATCCTATTTTTTGTCATTCAACAAATACCTCCTGTAGCCTTTCATCATCTGTTCTGTTGAACAAGTCTCTGAATGCATTTTTTTTTTGGAGGGGGGAGGTGCTTCAGAGTCAGTTTTTGACTCCTGATGACGGCCTGGACTAGTCCCTGCAGTTTTCTTGGCAAGGTTTTGGGAAGTGGTTTGCCATTGCCTCCTTCCTAGGGCTGAGAGAGAGTGGTCACCCAGCTGACTTCATGCCTAAGGTGGGACTAGAACTCACAGTCTCCTGGTGTCTGGCCTGATGCCTTAACCACCACACCAAACTACATAGTGGCAGCAAAAAGAAAAAATATTCCATGGCAGGTAAAATGGTAGAGATGCCCTCAGAAACTAAGCTTGCTTCACAGGGACCACATGGACACATCCTTGTGTAGAAATCATTTTCTTAGCACTTTTTTTCCCCTCTATGGTGCTCCTTTGCATCCAAAAATGGAGAACTTTTAGAAAACATTATTTTGACATCTAGAGTCATTAAGGCTATATAGTACTCAGTAAGGCTACTGCTCACCTCTGTAGAATGTTTCCCCAAATACTCTAGAATCCAGGTGTATCTTCCTGTCCACATCAATTTAACAGAAACAAACCAATGTTTTCAGAAGGAAAGGATTTTCACAACTCCAATTCTTGTTTCACGTCTGTATACTGGGGTACAAAAATGTAAAATATATCCTACCCCTCGAAACAGTAAGAGCCACTAATATTTGTAAAAGATGCATAGTTGGTATGAAATACTGAGCCTTCTCAAAAATGCAAAAATATTTGAATTCTTCCAACGTAATAAATTGTTGAGGAATAAAGACCACATCTAAACCACAAACATGCAACTTAGCTATGATTAGTTATACAGCCAGATGGCTGGTTCACCAAAGTATCAACTTTTAACCAGAAAGAGTTATTCTGTACTGAATGCATTCGGCAGCAAATGTCTCCTGTAAGCTGGAGTATCTGTAAAGATCTTTTCTTTATGTAAATTCTTGTCCAAGCACAAACTATAATTCTGCACGACTGATATCTTGACATGTGCTGCAAAAGTTCAAGTAATTGTGTGCCTTTTTAGATGAAACAACAACAACACAGTTTAAATAGATCACACTGTCGCTGTGAGCTCCATGACCAAGTTTATACACTGTGCTAAACCAATCCTTGGCTAAATAAGCCATGGACTGGAACTGGGCTCACACACTTAGACATGGGGTGATATGTGAGCCTAGCCAATGTCACATCTCTGAGGAGCTTCTGGTTGAAGGGATAACTGCATAGACTTGTTGAATCCTATTATTAGTTGCTGCTGGAATTCTAACAGGATCCAATATGAGCCAGAAGACTAGAAGCCATCAGTGTAATTTCCTACCAGAACAGCAGTCTCTTGTAATCTGGTGTTTTCCCCATATTCTGTACTATTACTTCCATTACCCATGTCCAAAATCAATTTGCTAACTGGTGTTGTAGTCTAGCATAGCTGGAGGGTGCTGAGTTAAGAAAGACTGCTCTAGGATAATCCTATGATGAAACACTATACCAAATTGAAAAGGTTCAAGTCACCTGGGCCTAATCACTGCATTATTGCTAGTGCCCATCACCATCTAAGCCTACTGGAGTCCATGTAGTAGAAGATCTTCACGCTGAAATTGCCCCCAGCTGCTTACATGTGTTAACTCTTGCATTGTATACTGCTAAACATATACTGGTCACAGGAATCACTGGCCTTTTATATGCTGCTGAACTACAACTCCCAGCATTCCTTATGCTTGATACCATAGTATGAGGTGGGCTTGAGTTCTGGAATTTAAAAACTCAAAAGACAAAAAGAGATAATTGTGATGCCAATTATCTCTTATATTAACCTATAATATAGTATAATTCTCCAGAGTCTCAGCCAGTGACCATGAATTTGTGGTTTCTCAGCATCTGGAGAACATAAAGTTAGGAAAGTTAACTGTAAAAGAATAGTGGCCTCGATGTATCTGCCAGCTCATAACCTTCTGCATGACCAAGGCAAATAACCAAGAACAGAAATGATTCAGCATTATTTGCTTTCTAAAATTCAAAAGAGGGAAATACGGCTTAGAAGTCTTTCCCTTCCCCCAGTATTCTAGAAAGGGATAGGGTATACAGAAGAATCCCTTCATCCTGAACAGAGGTTTTTGTTTTGAGAAGAGTTACTATTTTCACTTCAGGACTTGGAGGTTGTGGCTGATTTAGCTTAATAAGGGTGCAATATCAGGATTAGAGAAGGACCAGACAACTCTTCTTCATAAGGCAGGAGTGGACAATCTTATGGGATGGGTACGTTGCATTTTGAAAGCATGTGTTCTTTGTGTTCTCACAAAACATGTCTGCCACAAATACCTATCTAGGAGAAGCAAGCAAGTGAAGGTGCTACCAACTCTTGCTTTTGCCCCACCCTCCATGCTACTTATCATACAGCTTACATTTGATTTTTGTCTGGAGCAGAATCAATCATACTCTGATTTTTACTTTCCTGAAATATAGTGCCCATATGTGCTCAGAGGCATTGTTGGAAATACAGTTGAAGCTGAAAGCTGATGTTTTGCAACTTGTTTACCTTCCCACATAATTTACTTTTAATTAAAAATCAGACGGGACCAGGAGCCTCATAGACACCAAGGAGAAATCCATATACATACTGGTATTCACAGAAGTGAGATTGCCCATTCTTAACATGAGGTGTAAGGAGCCTCTTGGGAAGGGACAGAAACTTTGTCTTCCCTCAGCTGGAAATCTGGTTTCTTATACTGAAAAACAGCAACACTTCCTTCCTGTCTTTTCCATTACAAGATGCATGAGTTAAACCTTCATGAAACCACAGAGAAACAGAAAGACAAACAAAATGTATAGTATATGATATAGAAAAGTAATATAAAAGTGAGAGCTATGTTGGATCTGACAAAAATCTAATCTGGCATCCTATTTCTTACATTCCTGGTTATCTATACTAAGTAAAATTTGGGGCATGAGCCCAACAGTTTGCTCCTGATTGTGTTTCCTAGCAACTAATATTGCCCAATAATGATAGTACAGTAATATGTAACATAATGACTCACAGCCATTGACAACTTTATTCTCTGGTAAATCCCTTAGAAAGCTACTTAAAATAACATAAAACATGTTGTTTTTCAGCCTGAAGTGTTGGAATATTTTCTAGCAATCATTAGGATGCCAGCTAAATAACAAAATAAAAAGCCAATAATTAGAGATAGAGAAACAGGACTTGGAGCAGATAAAGAACTTTCCAGATACAATTTTTTTTTCTTTTTAAATTAAAATTCTCACAGTAGTAATTGTGACCAATGATAAGACTAAATTAAATTAAATCTAGATTAAGGCTATTTGATTCCAGTTAAAACTTGCTGGATGTAGCATCTGACTTGGAAATTGGGTGCCTGAAAATCACACGTTTCTGGAGAGAGATATAAATTTTGTCTCACATAACAGTATAGACAGACCCTCAATTTTTGTGACCTGGACATTACTTAAAGAAACCTCTCACATACACCCATGTATACAAACATTTTTTTTTTTACTGGCCTTAGGGCCACCTCCATTCTCCCTTCCCTCCGGATGCATTTATATTAATAGAAGCTTATAAATATATCACTCACTCCCCTATAGATGTATAAGGTGGGGGGGGGGGTCTCTTTAAAAGAGCATATTATGTGGTATGCAAAACTGAAGACCACATTATCCATCCGGTAGAGTCAAGTGAAAAAATCTTTAGCTAATTGTATTATTTCAGGTTGTTGGAAGAAATTACATTTTAAAAAAATATTGTTCCCAAAAGAAAGGGGAAAAAATCCAACACAAAGAAAAAGGCAAGAGAAAAACAGGATTGCACCCTTTCTCCATTGTTTTTTAATGGAGGGACTTTTCATGGGGAAGCATTGAAAAATGCATCTCCCACATACAAACTAAAATTGGTAGAGTCATGCTTTGCAGTGTATAAACTAATTCAGGGTTTAATGAAACAGAGAGAGGTATACCTGTATTTGTTTGGTAGGGTTGCTTCCTGTGTGTTTTTTCAAAAAACCAATCAGTACATTGCTGTTACTACAGTCTAACCTGGAATTCTATACTCTGGAATACCAAGACTTCATCCACCATCTCTTGTCATGTTTTTATCTTCCTTTCCAGGATGGTACTGGTGCTCTCCAGCGCACTGGTTCACTAGGAAAGATTCGAGATGTGCTAAGAAGAAGCAGTGAAATTCTGGTCAAGAAACTTCAAGGGAATGGCCCATTGGAGCCAAGGAATACTAAGTAGGAGGCGCTTCTTGGGCTTGCATGTATCTAACTGCTGCCTGTCAGACCTGCCCCTTCCCTTCCCTTCCCTTCCCTTCCCTTCCCATAGGCTGCGGAACTCACTGATCTCCTTTAACATTTAATTGGCGACAAAAACAATTTTTATTTTCTATTTAATTTATTTGTGTGACGCATCATCTAACAATTTTAGATGGCCTATATCATAATAGAGGCTGGGCTGACTGCAATGTTTTTACTTTTATGTTGCACTAGAATGTTTTAGATTTATTAAGCAAGGAGACATTCCTGAGATTTCTCAATGTGTTCTTGCTTAAAAACATTACATGATGGGACTACAAACCACGTAGTGCAATGTTTTTTCCAGAATGGGGATACCATTCTATAGGAAATAGCGTTCTACTACTTGGTTCCCATTTGCCAATGTTTAAGGTACCCTTTTCCAACCTTATATTCTTTAGATGGATTAGATTACAATACTTCCACCATCACGATCATCCCAACTAGCATGTCTATTGAGAAAACTTCATATTTCTCTAAGCCTTTTCTGATACGCTAATGCTAGCTTCTGAATCACCCTATATTCATTCATTTCAAATATTAGTATGTAAAGATACAAATACAAATCCTTATTGATACAAACAAGATATGAATCTTCAGCTTTAGACATGAAATCTTGAATATTTCCTCCTGTTTTTTTTTCCTTGACTAAAACAGAGGTTTCCTATGTACAGTATGATTTTTTACTTATTTAATATTAATCTGGACCAAAGAAAAAAGTAGTTCTGGAGACAGAGCAGTAAAAATAACTTTCTTTCTCCCTACTTTATTAGCATGAAACGAGCTGTTTCATTGAACTACCTGAATAAATCCAGTGAGGATGCCTTCCAGGTAAGAGCATCATTTGCCTCATTCCCAAAATAGCAGCAACAATCAATGATTAATACTTTTTGTATTAACTGACCTGTTTAGCCCAGAATGAGAAGGAATGGGGAAGAAAATGGATATGCAAGGGAGACATGCTCAATTAAGGGCTGGATGAAAAGCATTCAATATGGTTTCTGGTCATGAAAATTTCTCTATATAATTTGGCTTGATGCTCCCCATTTCCAGATAGAATTACAAAATGAGTGAATTTGTGGACCAATTTCCTAGTGATTGTTTCTGAAATGATAATCATAGTAGCTTCAAAAACTACCATCCTTTTCCTCAAAAGGGCTGTTAATTGTTGTATTCTGGATTATGCAAGGATACGGCATAACGATATGAAGAATATGTAGAATATAAAACATAGGGCATGAAGTGTGCATACATAAGACTCTATAGTATTCTTGGAAGGAGCAGAAAGGTGAGTGTCTCAAAGATTCATATCTTTTTTCAAATATTTTCAAATCCTTTTTGGACTACTGCAACATGGTTTCCATGGGGCTGCCCTTGAAGACCATCCAGAAATTACAGCTGGTCCAGAAAATTGTGGCACAGTTTTGGGGTCCCCCATGGTTCACCCATGTTACACCACTGCTGCTTCTTTTCAGGTGCAATTCAAGGTGCTAGTTATCACCTTTGAAACCCTGAATGGCACAGGGCCAAATTATTTGCAGAACCACCTCCCGCTGAGAGTCCCACTAGAGTGTCTGTGCTCCAGGTCCCTTCCCTTAAATGTTGCCATCTAGTGAGATGTAGGCAATGTGCCTCCTTGGTAGCTGCCCCTTTCCTTTGGAACACCCTCCCTCCTGAAATCTAGCAGACCCCTACCTTCCTAACCTTCTGAAAAATCTTAAAGACTTGTCTTTTCCCACAAGCATTGGGGTAGTGTGAGGCTGCAGCCCAGAAAAATTCCTTGTGGATATGTGGGGATGTGTTGTGGTTGGGAGCACCAGCAGTTTTTAGGGTTTTTTATGTTTTCTGCTGCTTTTTATTGTTTTTATTGTTGTTTGTGAGCCACCCAGGGTTATGTTGCATAAGATGGGTGGCTATATAATTTTTTTTAAATAAATAACTAAACAAACCTAATTCAGGGTGAGATAAAACTTAATTGTGAGGCAAGAATTTTTTTTCCCTTCACCATCTTTGTGAGATACAGGATTTACATCTTGAAGTCTAATATGCTTTGCTGGATATAGATACATTTGAGTATGCATCAGATCATTTTTAATGCACACTGGGAGATAAAGACTTCTGCAGGTTGGCAGATGCAAGTTCATGAAAAAGGGGATTTGTTTTTCAGGGCTCCCAACACCTTCGAGCCGAGAGTAGAGGCTTCAGTGCAAGCAGCATGGATCTTTCATCTCACACCTCCAACTGAGTCTACCTGTGTTGCCATCTCAGATATGACCTGCTTCTCTTATTATTTGGCTATTTCAGTTGCAACCTCTTCACAAGTTACCACTTCCTCATGTTGATATAGCTACTGTGTTGATAGAGCTCTCATCCCTGGATGGTACTAACCAATATGGAGCCACGGCCAGATGAGATGAGGAAGCTCTTTCAGTGATTTGTTGTGGACTTTGCAGCTTGGCTGAATGCACTTTCCAAGTTGTGTTTTGATGATTGCACAGAATGTGCTCCAAGAGCTCTTACTTGAAGTACTGGCTCTCTGAAGTGCAAAGTCTTGGCTCTCCCTTAACAAGAGCTACATTTCACTACATAGTACTGCTGGGAATTCATCTCCAGCAAGTCTCTCATGCTGACTTATTCCTTTAAGTGCCTACCTCTAGGCTTGACTTTGATAGGTTCTAGTTGCATTTATTCTTGCACTCTAATGACCCTTATCTCCCTTTTACAGCCTTTTATCATGAAGGCCTTCCCAAATCCGAATCCTTGCTCCTGCACTTCTGAAACAGACAGGAAGTTGGCTAGTTCAGCTTTGTGGGGAATTACTTTGTGTAAGGGACAAAGTCGGAGTATGAAGAGATACATATAGATTCTACAGAGATTATGTGTTCACACTCCATTCTACAACCCGTCCTCACCTTGGACTCATTGGCAGTGTCTGTCTTCAACTGAACAACAATAGTGCAAAGCAATGGAAACTGCCACTGGACATATGCTACCCATGATTCACTTCTGATTGTTGTTTTAATTTAATAAAAATGATCACAAGAAACAAACTTGACAAGTGTTTCCAGTTCATTTGTTTTGGATTTCTATCTTTATTGAGCAACAGCTATGACAACAGAACAAGGGAAAGAGCAGTACTGGACCACAAAAACTGTCATATTTGTAGCAGAGGAAGATGGGTGCACATTACCACCCTGAGAAGAGCAAGAATAAAAATCTGCACTTTTGAACACAAGTCATAACTATATTTACATGAGAGTGTATGACTGGGTGACTTCGGGCTAGACATTCTGTCAGCCTAACCCGCCTCACAGGATAGTTGTTACGGAGAAAATAGGAGGCAGGATTATTAGGTATGTTTGCTGCCTTGAATTGACCAAAATATATATAAAAAAGATGGGATAAAAATCTAATAATAACAATCATCACCATCATCATCATCATGACCGAGTTGCCAAAATTATTCATAGGAAACTTTGCCAGAGGTTTGGATTTGAATGTAGCAAGAACCACTAGGACCATCAAATTGAGAAGGTTTTTGAAAATGAGCAGGTTAAGATCTTATGGGACTTTAAAATCCAAACAGGCACCTTTTTCATAACATAACTGATATAACAGTCATTGAAAAGAAGTAAGTCTGGTTCACTGATGTTGCTATACCAGGTGATGCTAGGATGGAGGGAAAGCAATCTGAAGAAATTACAAAATACTGGGACTTGCAGATGGAAGTTGAACACATATGGAAAAAGAAACCAATCGTGATTGGAGCCCTTGGAACAATATCTAAAGAACTCCCTCAATATTTGGAAATTTTGAATTTATCAGACCGTAACACCCTAATTTTGCCTATATGCTACTTTAATGATTCTTATGTCCTTGGTTAGGACTTGAATTACTAAGTTTTCACCAGTCCTTGACAATGAATCTAACTGTAGATTACCCATAATAATGCTCACCCATGGTTAAAATTAGCTTATCTGAGTCATAAAACTCTGAATGACCACTAAATGGCAGTAATGAGTTAGGGTTTTCTCTATCACTTTGTGCCATCTGGCAGTTGTCTGAATTTTTGCAACCCAGACATGGGTTAAACTGGTTAACCAATCTTCTGGGTTTGCATAATACATTACCACACAAATGTAAAAGTATTAGGCTAAAATATGGTGGTTTGTTCTGCATCTCTGTATTTTAAGGGGAGGCTAATGGTTTCTGCCAGAACTTTGGGCCTCGCCTACTGCCAAAGGATACTAGGCAGTTACAGTATTGAGGCAGGTCTTGCTTTGTGGTATTGTGCTGAGTTGTGGTAACAAAAGTCCCTACAGCCAAATAAAGAGTGTAGTTAGGCATCACTGTTTAACAATCAGATACCACCAGATCCTACAACAAAAACTCAACAGAACGATGCTTTGTAACTGATGAATCTCCACAACGGAGTAAGGTTTATCAACTGAATCTTCATCCAGTTACAATAAAATAAAGAATATTAAAAGCACCACAAACTAAGCAGCTACATTAATGTTTTTGTCAGATAGGGGTAGAAGTGTAGCGGCCAAAGTCTTTTTACCGGTTACAGATCCATTTGATTTTACTGATTGTTCAGAAGCATCGAAAAGCACCCTCTAAAAGGAGGAAGTCCGCTTAAAAAAACACGCTGCTCTTTTTTTCCCCTGCACCTTTACATTTTAGATTCCGTGTTACTTGAAAACCCTGTGACCCAAAGGAATCTGGAACACTTAACGTTCCAGTAATTCCTTAAATTCTTTGTCGTTTTTGATGCAAGAAACTAAAACGGCTGCCCTTCTCGCCACAGAGGCTTCGACTAGAAACACGACAAACCCCACCGCCCGAAACAAAAAGAACAGTCGGGCTGGAAGCCCGGAGCTTTATTCCACCCGGGCGTGACGTCATCGGCGCGCGCCCCCGTCCTTTCGATCGTCTCCTGCTTGGTCTTCTGCCATTCTTCCCTTCCCTCTCTCCCCCCGCCCGGGCAGGGGGAATACATTCCGGGTAGGAAAAAGCGCCGGAAGTGCCAGGTAACCGTCTCTTTCCTCTACCCCAATAGAGGAGTGGAGTCCCGACCCCATCTCCTCTCCGCTTGGGTGCTGGGCGCGCTCCCTCCTTGGGCGGGGCCGGGGCGGAGCCTGATGTCAGATTCCTCTCCCTGGTCGGCCGTAACCCTCATACTGGGCGAGGATCGCCTCGGCGCCCGACTCCCCGGTCCCCCGAGGCGCTTTCTAGAGTTGTTGCCTTTCCTCAGAGTCGTCTCTGCGTCAGTATCTCGCCGTGCCCGCGCCCAGCTCTGTCCTCTGGGGGCCGACCCGTGCCCCGTCAAGCCTTCCCTCCCGCCCTTGGCCCCTTCCTTGCCCCGCGATTAAAGGCGCCTTCTGCCTCTGCCGTTCCAGTACTGCCTTTCGGAACAGACCGTCTTGGCACCTCCATCGAGGAACTGTGGCTTAAAAAGAAACACCGACTCCTCCCTTTTCTGCCTGTGAGCGCAACCCGGCAGGAACAAATTCAGCAGCCGCAGCTTCCCCATCACTCAGTCTGCTGGCCCTTTACCTGTTGAAACTGCCTGTTACACACAGGTAACCAATTAAAAGGAAAAAGGTAATTGCTTTTATCTTGCACAATGTTGCCGCCATGGTATTCCAAAATGTCACTGAGATAGATTACTTGTTCCAAAGAGGAATCTCAGATTCCTGTCATTTGAGATTTGACTCACCTTCTTACTCGATACAGAAATCTAGTTTTCAGGGAATACTAAAAATGTGATTTTTTTTTTTAAAAATGAACTTTATGGCAGAGAGCTCTACAGCATAGGTATAGCATTTACCTATGTCTGACCCCTCTGATATAAACTGTATAAACAGTAGGAGGGAATGCTACCCAGTTGAACAAAGCAGGGCCACTGCAATATTTTAAGGCTGCACATAAAAATGAACTGTAAAAAGCAAATTGATAGTTGGTAGTAATTATAATTAAAAAATCATGGATGAACATATCACATGAAGAATAACCCTATATAACTATGAAGATCTATTTCACTGTGTTAGAATTTTTTGAAAGTCTTCCTAATTTCACAAAACACTTTGTTTATATAAAAATATGTTTTAAACAATTCATTTGGAAATTATCTTAAATAGTCAACGATAGAATGTTGAATATTCTTCAGTGAATAGATAGGAAACAACAGAAAGTAACATTAAACAGGAAATTTCAAAGGAAGGTTATTCAAAGATCTTTGCTAAAATTGAACCTAAAAACATTAGTTTGACATGAATTAGCAATAAATTGTTCCCCAAAGGAAGTAAATGGCAAGATGGTAGCAATCATACATGTGTTGTAATAATTCTGAGGCACTTAAAATAATGGACAATAGCTACTACTCATAATGAATAAATACAACTTAAGGATCAAATGCAACTTTTCTCTGAAAATCATTTCTATGGCACAATAGCTTGTCATAGGTATTGTCTTCATGTTGTGCTTATCAATTTGCCAGAAAAATCTTTCTTTGGGGCTTTTTTTATGTGTGTGTACCTTCGAGTTAGTGTTGTCACTGGGGTCTGCCTGGACAAGTCCCTGCAGTTTTCTTGGCAAGATTTTGGAGGTGGTTTGCCATTGCCTTCTTCCTAGGACTGAGAGAGGGTGACTGGCCCAAGGTCACCCAGCCGGCTTTCATGCCTAAGGTGAGACTAGAACTGACAGTCTCCTAGTTTCTAACCTGGTGCCTTAACCACTATACCAAACTGGCTCTCATTCAAGGGGCTTTAGTCTGCTATAAAAAAATTCTCATTAACTTATCTATCAGTATAAAATACCTAATAGGGATTATGATTGGAATCCCTCTTAGAAGATACATTAATCTAGGTGTGATATTCACATGTAATAGCCATAGAATCAGTCACCAGGTAGATATTGTCAAATGTTTATCTTTTTTTTTATAAACCCAGATTGAGATGGTGAATTATAGATGGTATTATTTTCTGTACTGTAACCTCCTGGCTAGTGTTGCAGTTAATATTTTTGCATCTGTAATAAGCAAAGATCGCTTATATATACTTTTGCATCTATAATAAGCAATGATAGCACAAGGTCTATAGCTTATGCATCTTGTGGTATTTTTCTCAGGCTTTAATAATACTGTAATATAAGCCTCATAAAATAATAAAAGAAGTATGGAAAGATTAAAGATTGATTATGAACCTCTAACAATATAGGTGCCAATAAGTCTGTAAAAGTTCTGTGCCATTCAACTAGTTTCATAGATTGCAATGTCTCTGATTTTTTGTAATGTCAGTGATTGTACCTATTCATTTTTATCTTAATGTGATATCTCAGGAGATTGATAATTTGGTTAAAGGAGTCCTTAGTTAACTGAGTATAAAAATCATTAAACTGATAATTAATAGATTCTGTCTTAGTAAATAACTGTCTATCATTGGCCTGAATTCCGTGTGTGTGTGTGTGTGTGTGTGTGTGTGTTTCAGATCATAATCCAGTAACTTTCCAGCTTTCATTACCAATTCCCAATATTTTCTGATTAACATATTTCAGAGAATATTCAAATTATTCTGAGTGTAGAAGCTCCAATTTAGGCTTTGCTACTATAAATGCTTGATATGATTCATCAGTGGTATTTCTAATGTGTAATAAAAGTGGCTATTTAACCATCTTCTGTAACTATATAAAATTAGAGACTGGTGAGTTTCTCTTTTGCTAAGGCAAAAGCAATTATAGAACCCCTAATGGATGTCTTAAGTGCATCCCAGAGAGTTAATGTACAAGGAAAGAACAAATTGCCTTCTTAATATATTTCACAAAATGAGAATCTCTTTGGAGAGAAATAGTCAAATATACAATGCCATCTAGGATTGGCTGATTCATAATTGTTAAATTTCACAGTTAGAGTCACTGGAGCATAGCCTGGGATTGTAATAGGGTCTAATGAGGAGTCTATAACTTGATCTACCAAAGCATAGGAAATAATAATCTAATTTAAAATAATTAATCAATCATCACAGTAAAATGGATGGTGTTGGACTAGGAGGCCCAGATTGAAATTCACAGTTGATGGTAAAGCTCATTAAATGACTTTGGATCAGTCATTATCTCACCAGAGATAAAATGGAGCAGCAAGACTTGTGTGCATTAATTCCCTGGAAGAAGGCAGAATGTAAGTATAACAATCAATGAGAAATGTTTCACAACCACATGAAAAATCATATAATCCTAGAATGAAAGGGTAAAGGGGGCTTTGGAGATCATCTAGTCCAAACCCTCGCCCAGTGCAAGATCTCAGCACTACAGCATCTCCAACAGTGGCTGTCGAACCTCTGTTTAAACATCTTCAGCAAACAAAGCAATAATTTCCATTGTTGAGCAGCTCTTACTGTTACAGTTTTTTTTTTCTCCTGATATCCAACCAAACTTTAACTCATTGTTTCTTGTCCTGGCTTCTGAAACAACTGAACAATTCTGTTCTGTCTTCTACATTATAGCCCGTCAGACACTTGAAAACAGTTATCATGTCTCCACACTTGTCCTTTCTAGACTAAATTTACCCAGTGCCCCAACCATTTCATATCAGGATTTATCATCCATCCATCCATCCATCCATCCATCCATCCATCCATCCATCCATCCATATTTATTAGCTGTCCAATTCCAATGGACCTTGGGTGCATACAAAACTGGAAAATCCATAAAAACAGATAAAATGTTAAACCAACACAAATAAAACAAAAAAGGACTTCCAGAAATATGATACATTGATACATCAACTCCAGGCCTGGGACTAAAGCCAGGTTTTAAGAGCTTTCTCTTATAAATTTGAATTATTTATATTGCTGCCCATTTATGGAACATTTTATTCTCACAAACAACAATATAAACCAACATATAAAAGCATAAAAACCAACATTGAAACTCCTGGCATCCCCAACATAACACATCTCCACATGTCCACAAACTACTTTACTGGGTTCCAGCCTCCTGCTACCCCAGTGATTGTGGGAAAAGCCAGGTCTTCAGAGCTTTTTAATAGGTTAGAGGCTTGCTGGATCTCAGGGGGAAGGGTGTTAACTTGCAGGCCCCCTATATCTTGGTTGCTTTCTTCTGGACACATGCCAATTGGTCAGTGTCCTTCCTAAAATGCAGTGTTGAGAACAATATTTTAGGTGCAGTCTGACCAATGCAGAATAGAAAGGAGTAGTGACTTATCTTGATTTTGACACTATACTTCTGTTTATGTAGCCTGGGATTGTAAATGTCTTTGTGGTTTGGTTCATATTCTGTTTATGATCCACTGAAACACACATCCTTTCTGCATGTATCGCTGTCCAGTAGGTATTTATTTATTTGTTTGTTTATGTATTTATATTTCAAATTTAGACACTGTCCAGCTCACGAGGAAGTGACTCTGGGCGGTTAGGAAGTGAGTCTGGGTGATTATAAGTTATATACTCATGCCCTTTATTTTTCCTACTCAAATGCAGGACTTTGTCCTGGTTGATCTTGTGGCTTGTGCCTGTTGTTGTAGTTTGACAAGAATCTCCTGAATTTTGAAACTATCCTCAAAGGTTGCTATCTGTCTATCTATCATCTGCAAATTAGATAACATATTTTCTAATTCCTCATCCAAGTCATGGAACAGCATGGGGCCTAGAAAAAGGAGGCACACAATATATTTCACTTATTTTGTATTTAGATTAAACCGGAAGATTGAGTGGAAGGCTGTCTGGGTTCCTAAGATTTTGAAAACATTCATTTAGCCTTTGTGCCTTAACTTTCTTACTATATGACCTTTACAGTAGTTTCTCTTCTATTTTTTGAAAAGTGTTTCTGCATTAATCTCTGTTTTCCAATACCTTTATAGCACCTTGAAGTGTCACAGTCACAGGCAAGGAAGAGGTGGCCTTTCATACTGTTTCCCCTACAGATGATATGGAACCATTGGTCTGCTATCATGAGCAACTCAGGGAATAAAATATATAATGTGTTTTTTTTTTCAGAAGCTGAGGTGTTAAGATGGCTCGTATTACACTTGAAGAACTAAATGAAATGGATGATGAGGTTGAGGATGAAGAACAAGAACAAGATGAAGCAGAACAAAATAGACTGTTTTCTCTGTGGGAAACAGTAGCCAGCACTCATCAAGTGATGCTTCCTCAAGGCAAAAAAATTACATCTAACTTTTTATTAGCTGCATATTGATATACTGTACTTGCAAAGTGGAGAGAGAGTAGAACTTTTTCATCCGTGGGGCAAAGTCAATTTGCTTAAAAGAATTTATACTGATTTAAATGTATTCATTTACAGTGTTTTATCCCAATTTCTACTAAAAGATATCCAGAATAACTAACAAAAATAGTAAGCACAATTAAAATATATTCATTTAAAGCCATGATCAATAATGTATAATTTAAGACATCCAAAGGTATGAGAACCAATTACAAAATCAAAAATAGACTTGGGAGAAACTAAGTATTAACATTAAAGCTAAAAACACAAACGTTGGGTGTTAAGGAATTCCACAAAATAGCAATAGCCCTTGAAAAGTCCCACTCCCTTGTAGATACTGAGGGAGAAGGGAATGTGGAAGGAACCTTGACTCCAAAGTGTTCCCTCCATCTTTTTTTATAGTAATTTTATTAAAAATTACAATTAAAAAGATAGAAACTAATACAATAAAAGAATAAAAAGAAAAAATAGGAAGTACAGAAAAGAAAAAAATAGAAAAATAGAAAAGAAAAAAAAGAATATAGTAAAGAAAAAGAAAAGAAATATATAAAGAAATGACTTCCCCCCTCATCACAAGTATAAACAATTTTAGTAACTTATCACCTTCTCTTAAAATACAACAAGTGATCTCTTTTTTCCATATCCCATATCTTATCTATAATTAAATCCTTAAAACCTCATTGTTCAGTCTTGATCCGCAAAAGTCCATTAAGGGTTACCAGAGATAATAACATCTATTTTAACCTTGATCAAATAAACCAATTTTATATTCCTTCCTTTTACTTTTAACTATCTTGATCTTTAGTCCTTTCAAATAATATCCTAGAACTTGATTTCTTTTCATTTTTTTCTTTGTCCCATCTCACAAAATTCTTCAAAGCTTTAACAAGTCTCTTTTGTAAATCCAATATAAGAAAGTTATCCAGGTCACTCTTTTGGTTATTATATGTATATCCCTTTTAATTATTAAGACATCACCCAGTTTCATTTGTACATCCAGTATAGCATCTTTTTCCATATCATTCTTGTAGCTTGTCATTTTTAAATCCACTTTCAAATCAGTCTCAGTCTTGTCCGGTAAAACTTGTTCCTCTTCCATAACATCTTTTAAACACAGTCTATTTATAGAGGCAGACATGTTTAAAATTAACTTTTGGGTCCATTGTTCAAAAATATCCTTGACTATGTCCAATGTTAAAATATTTTGCTTCATTCTGTGTATAAGTCAAGTCTGAGTGTTCTTCTCCATTAATTGTAAACTTTAGTTCCTTCTAGTTCCCTCTTGTGTCCAATTTTTAAAATCTTATTTTATTATGTTTTTTAAAAAGAATTCAAAACAAAAGCACTTTCCCACAGGAAAGATCCTTTATAATTAATTTCAAAATCTTAATTCAATTTTATTGGACCCTTAGTCTGTAACTTTCTAAAATCAAAGTTCTAATCACCCCTTTGCTGTTTATTCCCAAAAACATTTTTTAAGTCCTTAAACTTGTATTTAAAACTTCTTTCGCTAAAGATTGAAGGAAACTCACCCAGTGCTGTAAAACTTGTGAATCCAAATATTCCTAATAGCAATTCTCAAAAGTGATTAGAAAAGGAAGTATGTGAATGCAGTGTCCTTCCAAAGGCGCCATTTGAGCAAGATGACCATTCCCTCATCTCCCAGAGCTCTAAATCTGCCAGAGACCACTGTCTTGCATCTCCTTGTGAGGAGCAACTGTCTGGAGCACTTGTGGGTGATTTCAAGTCCCTTCCTTGTCCGGAGAGGAATTGCTAAGAGCCAGTCTCCTCGCCGGATCTTTGTTCTGCTGCATTCGTCAGCTCCACTTTTAGCGGAGCTGTCTTCAGTTCGCCATTTCTGCCACGGAATTCCCAAAGTGTTCTCTCTATCTTTCAGGTGGACCATCTACTTTGTTTGTTGTCATATTACATATTAAGGGTATGTGAGTTTTCCCAGTGAAGGTGGTTGGTGAAAGACTTTAAAAGATACAGATGGCCCTTGTGATTGGCGGTCCCATTATCTGCAGTTCTGCACATTCATGGTTAGGAAAAAATACTAAACCTCAATATCTTCAGTAATGAGTTTTGGGTATCTGCATTTTTTTGCCTGGGGTTCCAGTCAGTCTGCCATTGTGCACATATGTAAAGGATGCATTGAGCCTCCACCCACATAACCTTCCCAGCTATCTGCCACCTGTCTTTCTGGAACCCACCAGCCCTAATCTTCTTGCCACACATCTTCATATTGCCTTCCAGTCCTCCTTTTCATCAGCCCACCCAGGTTTGATCTGTGTATCCAACGGTCTTTGCATTGCCTTCTCTCCCACCTTCTCATCCTACCCAGTCCTGACCTTCCTGCTGCATACATTATATGGTTGTCCTCTTTCTGCACATGCTCTTGGAAATGTTTGCATCTTTCACAGTCAAAATGAGCAACTGCATAGTGCTGTAAAGTACTACAGAGATAATTTTGATGAAGGAATATAACAGCAGTTAAGAGAAAGTAAACAACAACTCAGTCCTGGGAAAGGAGAAAGAAACTCAAAATAACCCTGTGTTGATTCTGCTTGTTATAAAAGAGAGAAGAGGGATATTCTGGCAGGCTTTCAAGATTCTGTTATAACCTACAAGAGTGAAGTAGCATTCCTAAAATCCTTGCTGTTTCTTTCCTGATCCTGCCTCCCTTGAAGGGCTGATAAGCAGAGGGCTTTGCTGAGGAAGTTCTCACAAAGTGCTGCCCTTGAGTGAGAGGGTGAAGCTGCTGGACATGTTGCTTGTGCGGACAGTGCAGCATCCCTTGCACACCATTATGGCATCAGTGAGTTTATTGTCAGCTCTATAAAGAAAGGCCAATATCTATGCAAGTGTAGTATTCAGGACATCTCAAGAGTGTCAAGGTGGCATTGCATGTGATCCCTAAATGGATTATATGGAAAAGATCCTTAGCCTATTGGTACAGAACCAAGCCCAAAAGAAGGTTCCACTGAGTAGACCAGTAACCTGGAAGAAAATGCTACACCTTTGTAGGCAGTTTGCAACAGAAGGTGCTGGATGTGGTTACCAGGCCAGTAAGGCCTGATTTCAAAGACTCGTGCACCACTATGTCCTCCACAATATCAAACTGGTAGGAGAAGTAGCACTGGTAAGCCACAAGATAGCACAAAAATATCCAGCAGAGTTCTAATTAAGTCTGAAGGATACACGTTTAAGCAGGTGCAGAGTTGATGAGACAGACCGGTTCTGGAAATGGATGCCATACTGCTCCTTAATCAGGAATGTTCTAGGTTTCAAGACAGCCAAGGGCCACCTCTTTCCTGGGATGTGGCAATGCTGCAGGGGACTGTTATGTTATCAGAGCCATGCTTCAGTACTCTCATAGAGCCCTCATGCCATGACAAGAAGAAAAACCAGTTTTCCATATTCTGGAGAGCCAATCCTCTGCTTTTCTCTAACTCAAGTTTCTGCAGGAACTGTATGAAGTGTAGGTATGTTGCATTCTACATGAGGTGCAGTGATATTTTGCCTCCAAGAATCTGTTCTTCAGTGCCCTCCTGTTGCTCAGCTACACTGCTGGTCATCCTGAGACAATGCAATTTGTACACTCATATCTTGAAATCACTATTTTGCCACCCAGCACCACCACCTTGATCTAACTGATGCACCAAGGTCTGATAGTAACTTTCAAATCTTACTACATTTGCCACACCTTCAGGATGATGCAGAAACTCATGAAAGTGAGCCCAAGCTTTCAGAAATGTTAAATATATTCCTTATGATCTAGGGATGAAATTAACTCATTAAACAATCTTCCATGACTATTGGACCCCCCCCCCCATGTTTAAAAAGGATAAATACCAGATTTTCTTTCTTGGTGCTGTAAGGACTTGAGGGCTCTCTGACTTAATAGTATATGATTTGATCCTAATCTGTTACGGCTCTCTTCTGGTTTCAAGTTTAAAGATTAAAAGGATGTGTTCTTTGTTGATTTGTGAAATATCTTTATATTGTAAAAATTAGAAGATCTCAGTACTTCATGTTTCTGTATGTTATAGGACTGAGCTAATTATATATTAATACAATATGCTATATGGGTGTTACCTTTTTCTTTTCCCCCCTTTCATTTTAATTATAAATATTTTAATCATATTACCACTATTTTTTTTGTTTGTTAATCTCACTATAATCTATAAAATAATTAACCCCCTCCTCCCCCCCAGTAATCTCATCTCTATACATCTGCAAATTCTGGAGGAGCTGCAGCATTGTATACTGCATTGTAGGTAGTCATCTTTTCATCTGCTGTGGTTATTTCCTCAATAGCTGATAAACTGCAGTGGATCTCCAAACTTCCATGCATTGTTGGTGGAGAAGGTCTAGAAGACTTCATGTCACATGCGGTGGATGAATTCCCTCAATCCCATCAGGAGGAGCTGATGGAAGAAGAATTGGAAGAGATCTTCCCTTTTAACAGCAAGTTGCTTCTGAGATCCTGCAGCTGGGGAGTGTCTTGGTGGCAGAGTATTTGAACTTGATTCCCTGAGGAATCCAAAAGGCAAATGCAGGCTGCTTTGCAACTCTGTAAAGCAGGACTAAGTCAGCTACTTTGAAATGGTAGTTACACCTACCAGCACAGCTATGGAGTCATCCTCAGAAAACATTGGCACTAAATGTCTTATACTGTACTCTTACTTACCTGTATTGTGCTTAGCTACAAGCATTAAGCACTGTAAACTATAAACACTAAAATTACTACTTCTACTTTACTAGTACTGCATTTATGACTTTGAAGAAGAAAAGGATTTTGATTTTTCCTGCTGCAGACCAGAGACTGAAGAGAAATAGAGTGCTGTGAACTCTAGTATAGAATAAAGGAACCCCGGTGTTTCTTTATTTTGACTTTCATTGTTGCTAACTCCAGCACTGGGGTAAAGGAGAGTGGACAATCTGAGATGACCAAAGTCCAGCAGCCTTATTTCTACTCCTCCCTCCCATTTTTAACAATCTTTCTGTCTCTAGAACCTAATAACACCCACACCACCCCCAATTCCCATAGACTCAAAGTATCAACCCATTTTGTTATGCATGGTTAGAAGCTAGAACCCCTCAAATACAGAGGTCCACCTGTGTACTACTTTTCACAGTGGACTACCCACAATAAATGAAAAGCATTTTAAGTAGAAGGTAGTTTAGAAATGCAGATCTCTACAAATGTTTCCATCTTTAAAGTTAACTTTTCCCAATTTACTCTGTTTCAATAGACATGGCAGGTCCAATAGTGCAGATGACTCACCATAACCACATGCGAGAGCCTGTGCCCTACACTATTTTATCACAGCATGAGAAGGTGAGCACTCATATTCATGTAAAGGTTTATTGCCTCACAGGCATAGAGTGCTGTTCTTGAATAATGTAATATATGTATACAGCTGTCATGCTTTTGTGATGTATTGAGGAAGAGTTGTAGACTGAATAAAAGTGTGCAATGTTCCTGGTTCTCCTAAGCGTCCATGATTTCACCCAAACTATAGTTTTAGCCATCATTAAGTTTCTACCAGATTTCTCCTTTGGATGTGATGTTGAGGATGCGGTGGTTGCATCTCTACTCAAAAGTAAACCTCATCATCTTCAGTAAAACTGTGGAGGATTGCAGCCTAAATAGCCTACCATATACGCTATTCCAGAGTAAAGCAGCCTAATATCTTTCAGAATTCAAATCCTGTCAGGCAGCTTGGCCAATGGGAAAGATTTATTAGGGTTGTAGCCCAAAGGATGGTGCGTAGGAGTTGCATTATGCTCTTTCCCAGAAATCTTTTTTTACTCTGTTTACCACTTCAGTTTTACTGATGGGAATGTTCTTAAAACATTGTTATACTTCTAGCCTGTGTTAGCTTTGCTTCAGCTTGCTTATATTAAGAACATATGGTGTCTTTTGGGATTCTTCTAGACCAAGTTCAGTGTTGATTGCTGACAACCTTAGAAACTTAGATTTTTTTTTTAATGGAATAATGAAAAACAAAAGATAAGTCATCTCTGCTTCTAGATGCTTTGCCTGCAGTACATTTAGATTTGTAGATCTTTAGTATTTGCATGCTTTTTCTTTCTTTCTGCTTTTCCTAAGGACTATATATATATGGAGTTATGACAAATATTAATTTTTAGTGAAGAAATGATACCTATTTGACAAAGTATAGTTTAGATTTCTGACACAAAGTTTAGCATGTTGGGACTTTTAAGAATATTTTCTAATATCCTTACTTCAGTTTTTCTGTTTAGATGTAATAAACCAACACTGATTAGATGAGAATGAGAATGAGCAGTGGTGACTCTCAAGGTTTTACTGTTTCTTCTTTCCATTCATTTGCCAGGCCAGTAGGAGGTCAAAACAGACATTTATATCTTGAGATTAGCTCTTGTTTTTGCAGCAAGTTGTGGGTTGCTCAGATTATAGTTTGCTTCAGACAGAATTCCAAACCAGGATCAAGTAATAGCTGTCATTTCATCTAAATTGATCTTGAATATCCATTACTCCAAACGTCAAACTTCAGCATCAGCTATAAGACTGGCATTTGTTAGACTAGCCACATACTAAACTAATGCATAAATGTGTTTTTTCTTTTTTCCCTTAAGGCTTTTTGTTTTGTTTTGTTTCTCCTGAAAAAATGAAAAGTGTTTGGAAGGAGTTAAAATATAATGAAATGTTTTCTTTTAGAATCATGTATTCAATAAGACAAAGTGCTCATATATTGATATCATTTATTCCCTCTCCACTCCCCCCCACCCCAGTTTTCCTAATGGCTTGGATTAGGAAGGCTCTGCCCAGAGAACTAATAAACGAAAGAGTAAAAAAGATTATACTGATTCAAGTGGTCGATTACTGTATAATAATTTGATTCTAGTATTTATTTTAACACTAATTCCAACTTTTAAATTGATACGAGATATTTTAATATGTAGATTTATATCAATGTCATTTCAATTTTTTTGGTCAATTTTACAGGGCTTGTAAGTGTCTATAACTTTCTTTATCTATATTTTTTCTGTTTCTGATTATAATAATACAGTGGTACCTCAGTTCACGAACTTAATTCGTCCGGCGACTCTGGTCGCGAACCGAATTGGTCGTGAATCGAATCAAATTTTCCCATAAGGTTCAATGTAAATACGGTTAATCCGTACTGACCCCTCCGAATTTGGTCGTGACCCAATTTTTGATCATGTCCCGAATCAAATTTCCCCATAAGGTTCAATGTAATTATGGTTAATCCGTTCTGAACCATCCGAATTTGGTCGTGACCCAATTTTTGATCATGTCCCGAATCAAATTT